GTCTAAAAGCCTGTTCAAACACAGTTGCACTAAGCTAAATTACACAGTCTAAATCATTAAAGTAGTTGCGTAAGTGTCAATATTTCTGGAGGGATTCCACATTGACTTCATTTTACTTAAAACACATTTCAAAGCAAACAGGCATTGGTAACAAATATCTCTATTATAAATGAATATGCGATACCTCCAAGGTATACTTGTATGTAGTGTTCCACTAACATTTCTGGCCACAGAGCTGTTTGCTTTTTACAAACTTTTTTAGGGACACAGTTTGGAGTGGTTTAATATGTCTTATATGGCCGGCTTTCTTTTTCCTTGATACCACAATCTTCAGTGTAAGTTCATTTTCTCCCAGATTTCTCTGTCTTCATTGTCAATCCATTCTTTTTGTTGGTAAGCTTAAATTCAGAGCAACCCCCTTAGTTCCTTTGCCATTGTTCTCAACTGGAGTTGTTGTTTTGTGATTGGAAATATGTGGGGTTGTGCAACTGGCCACCAGGGGAGTTAAATGCCCTACTATTTGACAGTCTTGCAACATGGAGAATTGCTCCCCCTAAAATGTTTTCTCTCTGATATAAAATTATAAGCAAGAAAAGTCAAGAGCTTTTCAATTGTTGCATTACTAGTTGAAGAAGACATCTGCATGTCTGGATAGTGCAAACTACCTACCTTTTTTTTTTTTTTTTTTTTTTTTTTTTTGAGATGGAGTCTCGCTCTGTCGCTAGGCTCGAGTGCAGTGGTGCAATCTCGGCTCACTGCAACCTTCACCTCCTGGGTTTAAGTGATTCTCCTGCCTCAGCCTCCTGAGTAGCAGGGACTACAGGTGCACACCACCACGTCCAGCTACTTTTTGCATTTTTAGTAGAGACGGGGTTTCACCATGTTGACCAGGATGGTCTTGATCTCCTGACCTTGTGATTCACCCACCTCAGCCTTCTAAAGTGTTGGGATTACAGGTGTGAGCCAATGCGCCCAGCATCTTTTTCGTTTTGTTGTTAAATCTCTGTGCCAGTTGATGAACATTGCAAAGAAATTGCTTAATTTCTGTATTGGACCACATGACTTCTGCATAGTATTCCTCTTCAAAGGAGTAGTTTTGATAGAAAAATATCAGTACATTTTGATAGAAAAATATCAAAAAGTATCATTACAAATGATCAGTAGTTTTGTTAGAAAAATATCAGTAGTTTTGATAGAAAAATATCAAAAAGTAGGTCTCTGACCTAAGTGCTTCCTACTTATTCTACTTGCCTTATAACCTTTTCCTGACCTGCTGTAAGCTTTTAAGAACCTATTTTTGAAAACTGTCAAGTATTATTTTATGCATTTTACAAACGAAACTGAGACTTACAGAGATTAAGTCAATTGCTCTCTCAAGGTCACAGAGACAGCAGGTTCTAGAGGTGAGCTTCAAAACCAAGCATTCTGACTCCAAACTTCAGCTGCTTAACTGTTATGTCTGCATTGTTATTTATATGATGTTTTTAGTCATATCTGACTCATTTTACATCATTGTGAAATGCATCCAAATGATTTTGTGGTTACTTCTTCATCTTAAACATCTGAAACTGTGCTCAATTATGAGCCTATATACTCGCTATATACTGCTGGTATGACTATGTCACTTATCTTCTTTGTATCTATCACTAAAATAAAGCAATTGCGCCAGAAATTTGCTCTCCAATGTCTCTTGATGTTAACGTTAATAATTCTATCAACAATATCTAGACCTTTTTATTCTCAAGAGATATAATTTTCAATTATGCCATAGCAAAACAGAATTGATATGATTGCATAATATCTTTTTGTTACTATTTTTAAAAATTGTTTATACCAGTAAGTGAAGGTAGGTGTCATAAGTGCTATCTGGCTTGCTGTGGTGGCTCATGCCTGTAATCCTAGCACTTTGGGAGGCCAAGGCAAGCAGATCGGTTGAGCTCAGGAGTTCAAGACCAGCCAGGGCAACATGTCAAAGACTTGTCTCTACAAAAAAAAAAAAAATCACAAAAATTAGCCTGGCATGGTGGCATGTGCCTGTAGTCCTAACTACTTGGAGCGCTGAGGTGGGAGGATCACTTGAACCCGGGAGGCAGTGGTTTCAGTGAAAGCCCAGATGGTGCCACTGCATTCCAGCTTGGGTGAGACTGAGACCTTGTCTTAAAAAAAAAAAAAAAAAAAGTGCTATCTGACAGGCTTTGGCTTGTTGAAATAATCTACAAGTCCACCAAGTTTATTTTTTTCTTCCCCCTGCTACCCAAATTCCCTTCACAATTCTCATTATTTCATTGACAAAAGCCCAAGGAAGAACAAACTGTTTTCCTTTGAGGTAAAACAAAACAGATCTAATAATTGATCCCTCCCAAGTTCCGATTGTACTGTTATGGTATTTAGTCACGGTATCTTTATTCAGAGCCTGCCTTTAATGAGAATAGCAGAGGTGTTTGTGCATACACACAAGAAGTACAGGGCTATTTTCACAGTGTTTAAGAAGTACTTATAAAAGAATGCACTCTGTGTTTTATAAAAGGATCAAACAAAATATAAAAAAAGAGAAGTCTTCCATTTCCTCTAAAATATCTGCCCTTGCTGAATCTCCTTCCCAAGAAGAATTAATAACTCTTCAGTAAACATTATGATAATGTTATTTTGTTGTATGCAACTTAATTTATACAAAAAATTGGCACATACCTTAAACTATGTACCACTTATTGGATTTAAAGTGGCTATCATTTAATCATTTAAAAAGTTTTTTTTTCTAAATAACGTTGTTTTTCTAAAACATTAGAGTTTTTAATAGTAGTATTATTGTTGAAAAGGCAGTATGTGCTCGTGATATAAAACTTGAACACAAAAGAGAATAAAATGTAAGGAAAATCACCTTTCCACTGCAGATCAATAGTCTCTAGGACCAGAAGGATTTTTTTTTTTTTTTTTTTTGAGACAGAGTTTAGTTCTTGTTGCCTGGGCTGGAGCGCAGTAGCGCGATCTTGGCTCACCAGAACCTCCGCCTACTGGGTTCAAGTGATTCTCCTCCCTCAGCCTCCCAAGTAGCTGGGATTGCAGGCGAACGCCACCATGCCTGAGTAATTTTTGTCTTTTTAGCAGAAACAGGGTTTCACCATGTTGGCCAGGCTGATCTTGAACTCCTGACCTCATGATCTACTGGCCTCAGTCTCCCAAAGTGCTGGGATTACATGTTGGTCAGGCTAGTCTTGAACTCCCAAACTCAGATGATCCGCCTGGCTTGAACTTCCAAAGTGCTGGGATTACAGGCGTGAGCCACAGTGCCCAGCTAAGGACCAGAAGGGTTTTTGTACATATTAAATAATAAATATCTGTCTTTAAAAAAATGCAACATAGTATATATTCTTTTGAAAAAGTGGAAGCATAATGTATACATTGCTTTGCTTTTGTGTCTTAGAAATTAGAGACCAATAGGCCAGGCACAGTGGCTCACACCTATAATATTAGCACTTTGGAAGGCCGAGGTGGGAGGATCCCTTGAGGCCAGGAGTTCGAGATCAGCCTTGCCAACATGATGAAACCCCATCTCTATTAAAAATACAAATAGCTGGGTGTGGTGGCCGAGTCTGTAGTCCCAGCTACTTGGGAGGCCGAAGCAGGCGACTTGCTTGAACCCTGGTAATGGAGGTTGCAGTGAGCCGAGATGGCATCCCTCCCCTTCAGCCCGGGTGACAGAGTGATACTCTAACATACCAGCACATCTCAATCTCTTTCTACTCCTTGGCCATACTGTAGCTATCACAGAGTAGTATAACCAGTCTTTTTTTTTTAGAGATGGAATCTCGGCTCATTGCAACCTCCACCTCCCGGGTTCTAGCAATTCTCCTGCCTCAGCCTCCCGAGTAGCTGGGACTACAGCAAGCACCACTACACCCAGTTAATTTTTTGTATTTTAGTAGAGACAGGTTTTCACCGTGTTGCAGAGGCTGGTTTCGAACTCCTGAGCTAAGGTGATCCACCCACCTTGGCTTCCCAAAGTGCTAGGATTACAGGTGTGAGCCACCACTCCCCGCCCAGTTAACCAGTCTTTTAAGAATGAATAATTAAGCTACTTTTCACACTTTTGCTATTAAAAATAATAAAGTAGGTTTAAGAGCATTTTGCTCATCTCTGTACACATGCAAGAATATATCTAAAGAATAAATTCCTGCAAGTAAAATTTTCTACAAAAGGAATTGCTGAGTCACAGAAAGGGGCTATTTTAAATCCTTGATACAGCTTAAGCTGCCATCCAGTAAAGTTTTCTCAATTTATGAGAGTAAAAAATGCTGATTTATAGCATTTGTATTAGCACTCTCTTCCTTTTTTTAAAAAAATTTTAATTTATTTGAGACAGAGTCTAGCTCTGTGGCCCAGGCTGGAGTGCAATGGCACTATCGCGGCTCACTGCAACCTCCACCTCCCAGGTTCAACTGATTCTTTCACTTCAGCCTCCAGAGAAGCTGGGATTACCGGCACCAACCATCATGCCCGGCTAATTTTTATACTTTCATAGAGACGGGGTTTCACCATGTTGGCCAGGCTGGTCTTGAACTCTTGACCTCAGGTGATCTGTCCACTTCAGCTTCCCAAAGTGCTGGATTTACAGGTGTTAGCCAATATACCAGGTCAGGTGTATTGGCTAACACCTGTAAATCCAGCACTTTGGGAAGTGAATAATTCTTTATTACAGTACAATAAATAAAATGACTTACTTTAACTTCTGAATAATTTTTTTTTTTTTTTGTGGTCTAAAATAAATTCTTTTAATTGCACATTTGTGTCTTGGGTTAACTGTGGGGTGAGAAACCTCCTCCTCACTTGCAATCCCAGCTATCTGCATACAATCTAGTGTTGTGGTCTAGCTGTTGAGGAGGGGCAGAGGTCGATGCAGGGCTGGCCCCTGAGTGCACGGACATCTTCAGGGCAGGGAGCTCAGACCATAGTTGTACTTGCACTGCTTCAGAACCTCGCTGAAGCCCTCACACAGGGACAGGTCACTGAGTGGTGGAACGGTCCAGGAACTGCCTGATCTCATAGGCGCAGGGCCCCATCTGCAGGGGCTGGGTGGCAGCATGGGAGGGGGCCTGCTGGGCGGCAGGCTGGGCTGGCTCCGAGCTCCCCCCGCTGAAGGCTCTGGTCAGCGCGCTGTCCATGACATGTCCCACAGCCGAGCCCACTGCTACCCCTGTGGCCGTGGATGCCACCTGAGCCATGAGGCCCGGCTGGCCCGAAGGGGCGAGAGCCGGGGCTGCTGCCGAGGGCGGTGGGTGCGCGGGCGGGTGGGCAGAGGGCGCGGCGGGGCGGCTGACTGGCCCGGCGGCCGCGCTGCGGCTTCTGCGAGGCATGGTAGCGGCGGTGGGACCCGGACGATCTAGAGGCGGCGGCGGCGGCAGCGGTTCTCCTGAATAATTCTTTATTGCAGTACACTAAATAAAATGTATTTATGCAACTCAGGGTTCGTCAGCAAATATTAGGAGGTAAAACTAATTGGAACTGTTTTAGACCCTTCTGGCCCCTAAATGCCGTATCATATTATGCAAAAATACCCACATATAGCTATACATAAATATTGAGGTGAGTTGTAATTGATGTTATATTTTTAAAAGAAAAATATTAATTAAATATGTATTAATATAATTAGTGTTTTGAAGTCTATCCATTTTTTCCCCCCAGTCAAAAAGTTTGGTATGCTTTTAAAAGCTTTGGGCCCTCAAGTACCACTCCTCTAGTGCTTAATGGGTTAAATGTCCCTGAAGCTAATTTGAAAAGCAAATTGCCTCATTCTTTCTCCTCCTGTCTTTCATTCAAACTGCAAATTTTAAGAGCTGTTTATTCCTTATTCTCCTTGTTCTTAATTTGTTTAATAAGGTTTTAGATATTTAGTGAATACTTTGCAAGAACAGAAATATTCCTAAATTTCCTGGTGCTAGAAAACAGTCAGAAGAGTAAGTAGGTCAAGTCTGTATTGTTCCGGGAACAAGGAGATTTTTGTTTGTTTTAAAGCGGTGGGTCTTCTGAGAGTAGGGTTCTGGGTGCAGGTGAGTGGTAAACGTTCCTTTTTCCTGCAGGGATGTGGCTGTTAGTTGTGTAACAGCTAAAGCAGTTTGTGTAAGGATGTGAGGCTCCAGTAGATTTTTCAAAGCCACATTATCTCTCTCATTAGGGAGAATTTCTCCTTGTACTTCAAAAGAAGATAATGATGCTTGAAAAAGCTCAGGATTGAAGAACTTTTAGGAAGCTGCCAGAGTTCCGCATGTTGTCCTCACTACAGTTAACTTCGTTATGTCTTAAGAACAATTTAACCTTCATTTCTGTTTCAGTCATCGTAAGCACTGGGTCGTTACAGAGTTCAGTGTACCTAAAACGCAAGCTGCAAATTAGGGTGCTAGAGCCACCCTTTTCTTAACCAATCTCCACGTTGAGGCTTAAGTCTTCCAGCACCGCCCTCAGGGCAAAGGGTGGTGGTCAGTGGCGCGTGCCGCAATCAGAGGGGGCAATTTATGTGGTCTGTTTACAGTTACCCGGTTTCAACACCATGCCGGCTTTCCGCCAAGTCTCGGGCGAACCTTCAGCCTGAGGTCACACAGACGACCGGGTGGCTCTCTGTAGCCGGCATGGCAGCCTTCTCCGGACCGGTACTCAGGAATTTCACCCGTAGGGACCAACACCACGTGGACCCAGGAACTTCGGCTTCTCTCCACTTTGTGCACTGGAAGGGGCGGTCGCGGTGACGTTTCAGGCAACGCCTCTGCTGCCAGCCAATAAGGAGCGGGGAACGCGTCGGGCCTTCTCTCATTGGGCCGCGCTGGCCCCGCCCCGCGGCGATCGTGAGGCTGCCGGCCGGCTGTTAAAATCCACCCCACGCTCGCCGTGTCCGGCTTTTGTACGCTGGGTGTCGGCTCCACCGGCCGCGTTTGCTCCTTTTCTCCTGCTCCTTCTGTCTCTCCCAATCCCGGACGCCCGGCTTCCTGGTTATATCTTCCTTGTTCTTTTCCTCTCTCATTTCGCGGTTCAGCATGCAGGAAAAAGACGCCTCCTCGCACGGTTTCCTGCCTCGCTTCCAACATTTCGCCACGCAGGCCATCCGTGTGGGCCAGGAACCAGAGCAATGGACCTCCAGGGCTGTGGTGCCCCCCATCTCGCTGTCCACCACGTTCAAGCAAGAGGCGCCTGGCCAGCACTCGGTGAGCTGGGTCTGTCTGGGGCTGCCCACAGTCGGGCGGGAAGAGAGGCTTATGAATTTAGAAGGCATGTAAGTAATTTATAAGATGACATGTAAATTAGGAAGGCAACTGAAAGACGTTTCGACACGGTAATTCTTGAAGTACAGCTTTGTATCGGATGGTCCAGTGATCGTATTTCTTTTGATGAACAGGACTGGAAGGAGCTGTTTGTCATATAGATTTGGGCTGAAATTCAAGTGATTTTGACAAATTTGCCATTAAAAACCGAAGGTCATAACTTTTTTGAATTATCTTTAGCCGCTTAAGTTTTAAAGATGTAGTCCGGAGTCAGCTTAAAAAATACTAAGGGTCTGATAACCTCACTAGAATTAAGATTGTTCCCTGTACCTGTATTAATAGTTAATGAGTACCTACTATGTGCCAAATACATACTAGTATATACCATGTGTGTTGCATGTATTGTCTCATCTAATGCTAACAAAAACCCTAGTCTGAACTGAATTCTCATTTTTTCCAATAAAACAGCTGAGATTTAGGGAGTTAAGTATCTAGCCTTAAAGTAGTTAAGTATTGGAGCTGGGATTCATACTTTAGAAACTTTAGATTGCTTTAAGAACCAACTCCTAGGCACTCAGCTACACTATGCTATCTGTAATAATGCTAATAACAATTTAGCCTATTGCATCATTTAAGCCATGTGGCTTAGTGGTTAGGAACACAAATCATGACCAGGCGTGGTAGCTTACGCTTGTAATCCCAGCACTTTGGGAGGCCAGTACAGGTGGATCACCTGAGGTCAAGGTCAGGAGTTCCAGACCAGCCTGGCCAACATGGTGAAACCCTGTTTCTGTAAGTCTCTACTTAAAATACAAAAATTAGCTGGGCATGGTGGTAGGTGGCTGTAATCCCAGCTACTCGGGAAGCTTAGGCAGGAGAATCTCTTGAACCCAGGAGGTGGAGGTTTCAGTGAGCTGAGATCTTACCATTGTACTCCAGCCTGGGCAACAAGAGTGAAACTCTAACTCAAAAAGAAGAAGAAAAAGAAAAAGAAGAACCAGAGCACAAGTCATATAGTCAGAGGCTAGATCTGAGTTCTGACCCCACTTTTTCGTTGCAAGGGGACCTTGGGCAAGTTAGTTAACCTATCAAAGCCTCTAATTGATCCTGTATAAATGGGGATAATAATAGTACCTAACACGTAAGTTGCTGAGATGTATTTAAAGCTGTATGGTACATAATAATTACTCAATGGTAATTTGTTTTTTCATGGTGTTCACATGTACACTATTTCCATTTGATCCTCAGAACAACCAGGTCTACTTTTTATAGGAAAGGAACTGACCCAGAGTCATACATGAATGATCTGTAAATCCTATGAAAGAGCCTTGTTAATCATATAGCTTTTTTTCCCCTTTTGGTGGCATACTTGATGGATCTTGGAAAAATTTAAAAGTTGCTGAGATTTGTAAGAATTAGTTAAATTCCAAAGCCTTGATTATGCTTTGAAAACTACTTTAGTGTGTCCTATAAGTTGAGGAAAATCCTCGTAGACAGTCCTGTGTTTTGTGAGATAGAGTTCAAAGGCCATTTCTACAACTGGCTTAAAATGCTCTTAACTACTGTATTTTGGAATCAAAATATGTACACAGCCTCTCTTTCAAACATGCAGTTTCTTGTGTAGGGCTTAATAAATGTGTAGTTGCCCAAGCTTTGGAACTTAGAGTAAAAATTAACCATTTGGATGTGATATTAATTGTTAAATATTTCCAGGAAACCAGCAGGGATCCTTAAATCCATAAAAACTCTGCTTTTTTTTTTTTTTTGAGACGGAGTCTTGCTCTGTTTCCCAGGCTGGAATGCAGAGGCGTGATCTTGGCTCACTGCAACCTCCTTCGCCTCCTGGGTTCAAGCAATTCTCCTATCTCAGCCCCCACTAGTAGCTGAGATTACAGGTGCACACTACCATGCCTGGCTAATTTTCATTTTTGCAGTAGAGACAAGGTTTCACCAAGTTGGCCAGACTGGTCTCAAACTCCTGACCTCAGGTGATCCACCCACCTCGGCCTCCCAAAGTGTTGGGTTTACAGGGGTGAGCCACCTCACCTGGCCTCAACAAAACCTTTTTTTGAGATGGAGTCTCACTCTGTCACCAGGCTGGAGTGCAGTGGCATGATCTCCACATATTGCAAACTCTTAACCTTTCTGGTTCAAGTGACTCTCCTGCCTCAGCCCCCACTAGTAGCTGAGATTACAGGTGTACACCACCACACTGGCTAATTTTTTTTTTTTTTTTTTTTTTTTTTTTTTAGTAGAGATGGGGTTTCACCATGTTGGCCAGGCTGGTCTTGAACTCCTGACCTCAAGTGATCCACCTGTCTCGGCTTCCCAAAGTGCTGGGATTGCAGGTGTGAGCCACTGCACCTGACTCAAAACTTTTAAAAATTGTTAATACTAGGAGCTTCTGAATCAGAAGCAAAGGTGAAAAGAGTGGTAGTGTTTTGTTTTGTTATGTGTTATATGAAACAGAAGGAGAAAATTATAGGACTTCTAATTCATGTTCAAATCCTAGATTTATAATCTGGCTTTGACACTCCCTAGGTACTATTACATTTGACTTCACTCTCCTCAAAGCCAGTTATAAGAGTTAATAGAATGACAGGATGATTATAGATAGCAAGGTGCCATATGTGTAAAAGGAGCATAATGCAAATTTTTGAAAAGTATTGTGTGAAGCTGTTTTGCCAGGAATTGCTCCCTATGTTTTGAGTCACCTTTGTAGGGCCAAGATGTGAATGAACGCTGAGCATTTGTAGGATCTGATCACAACTTCCTGTTGTATGCTAAATAGAACTTGAATCAGCCTGAGGAGGTGGCTCACGCCTGTAATCTCAGCACTTTGGAAGGCCAAAGTGTGGGAGGGTTGCTTGAGGCCAGGAGCTCAAGATCAGTCTGGGCAGCATAGCTAGACTGCCTCTACAAAAAATAAAATTAGCATATTAGTTAGGCATGGTGATGTGTACCTGTAGTCCTAGCTACTCAGGAGGATGAGATGGGAGGACTGCTTAAACCCAGGAGTTTGAGGCTGCAGTGAGCTATGATTGATTCACTGAACTCTAGCTTGGGCAATAGAGTGAGGCCCTATCCGTTAAAAAAAACAGCCG